TGTTCCACATGAACCCTAGGATTAAGAGGAAAAGGATAACTATGGTGAACTCATGCTGCAGTCTTAGCTGTGAGTAAAATAGTCCTTGGTCTCTGATCTAGGAGTCTTGTGTCTTCTGCCAGCATTCATGAAACTGTGGCAAGCCAACTTGTTAGCTTGCAAGTAAGGTAAAAATCTCAGATCTTTCATAGTTCTTGACACTGAACACTCTACACAATGTTGGCAAACCTCAATTTCTATTTTGTTTGCTTGCTTGTTTGTTTGGGGCAGGATGGGGTTGTGGCACGCTATGGAACTGCACTCACATGCGTGAGCCTATGGCCACCTCCTCACTATAAACTACACACCTGCTTCCTTCTTGTCATTAATTTTATTCACAGCTTTAGTTTTTCCTCATTAAAGGTATATTAGCTCTGTCTCTGCAGCAATGCTGTAAAGTCACATAGACAAGGATTACTATGTCCTGAGATCACCCACAATTTTTAGGCCATTTATTCATGTGAATAAAACTTGGGCTTCGGAATCAGGATTTGAATCCCTGTTAAGTCATTCATTACCTGTGCAACTTTGTACAAGTTAACCCACACAAACCTATTTTTCTCAGCTGGGACAATGGTTTATAATAAAACATTTTCCTCAAAGTTATTGTAAAATCACATGAAATTATATAAATGAAATCTTACCAGTGTCTGGCATACAGTAGGCATTAAACAAATAGGAATTAAATATTTAAACGCATAACAGGAATTCAAATAATCCATGTCCTGTTTTCTATTCACTTGTCTCAACTCTCTAATGAGTCATGAGCTCCTGAGATGAAACTGATAGGATTCTCAAGAATAAATTTAAATTACAAAAGACTACTTTTTGACTATCAATACCATCTATAGGAATTTATCTTAAGGAAACAATGAGAGACTCACATAAAGCTCTTCATTACAGTGTTACTTAGAGTAAAAACAATTGGTAGCAACTTAAATGTCTAATAATAGAGAATTATTTAAACCAATCACTGAATAGTCAGGCAAGGGAATGCTGTGCAGACATTTAAAAAAATGTGCTAGAAAGATATTTAATGACATGGATATTGAGTGAAAGAAGACAGGCTCCAGAACACATATAAATATTATCCCAATTTTGTTTAAAAATGACCATCAATGGAAATGGATAAAAAAAGTTGTGGTGT